TTAATGTATAATTTTTATCACAGTTATGTTATTTAAATCTTTTAATATATACATAAACATAAGTATATATATAAATATAATATATCTATATAGGAGTTTAGTTTCAAAGTTGTTTTGTTTTATGCATTTTTTTCATAAAAGGAAACAATCATAAGATATTGAACTTATGTAAAAAAAAACTAACAATAAACATAATAATTTGGACAAATTGATTAGAATATAATGACAGTAGGACGGGGATATATTTATGTATCACTGTTGTTTTAAGCCTATCAATTCAGCATAAAACAATGTTACAATTTTTGTATCGATACTGTCCGGATCCTTCCACTTATCTGCCATACTTGAAGTGAATTGTTTTTATACTGAAAAATTTTTTTTTTTATTCTTTATTATTATATAAACAATCTGTACCTCATGGGTACAATAAGAGTATTAGCTGAGATAATAATATAATACATGAAAAGGCTTGATAAAAGCAGMCACCCAGTGATGACAATTAAATATTGAGATTATACATTAATTTATATAATATGTATTTGAATTTATTTATTTGTTTTTTTTTTATATATATAAAATATTAAGTTAACATATCTCTACACCAGTTGCGTTTTAAATGCCTTGGAGAATTTCCCGGAATAGTATTTGCTGATAGAGCTTTAATCAAAGGATTGGGATGAGATGCAAGCCGATTATGGAATCTTTTATACTAAGTGACTGCTTCTTCTTTTACAGATTTGATTTTCAGGTCCGCGTGAAGGGTATGATTAGAAACATAAGTGGGGGAGTTTGTTAATTTTCTTAGTGCAATATTTTGAAAAGCCTGAATACGATTTGTATTTGATTTTTTTGCATTTCCCCAGAGTTGGAGACCATAGTCTAAATGGGTTTGATGAGGGATTTATACATTAGAAGTTTTATATTAAGGTTGGTGTTTTGTTATTGACTAGTAAAGATTTAAGCATACGAAGTCAGAGGTTTAGTTGAAGTCTTTGTTGAAATTTTAACCGTGTATGCTGGGCCCATACTGAAAAATGAACCATAAATGACCTCATGATTTTAAGCTAAATTTATTTTAATAAATTTACATACTATATAAAATTGGGTGTTTCAAAAATATAAAATAAAAATGTATTTAATTGAAATTGGAATAAACATATTTACATAACAATAAATTGATTTTATTTATGAATGTTTATCCTACATAATTTTTACAAAAGATGCAAGTGCTAAGAATTTGCCAATGTTTTGGATGATTGATTTAAAAAAAGAAACCTTCAACTGATAGAACAAAAGACTTTAATGTTAAAATGATGAAAAAATAATTTTCTTTAAGCTTAATTGAGATGGTAAAAATTATTTTAATACTTACAGAACGTTATTCATAAGTTGAGTCACAACTGATACTTAGGCCTTATCTAAATTTTTACTTAGGAGACTTAGTACGATTGAACTTTGATGATCCTTTCCTGGGTATTGTTCCTCGTTCACTATTAGATGTTTTGTGTCCTTTTCCAGACCGATTTGTTAGAAGACCCTCTGAAATGAGCACAATAAAATAACAATTACCTAATAAGACACACGTTGATTAATTATTACAGGAATTATAATGATTTAAATTTAAATATTAATTACTTATTAGTTAGGTTACAACTTAACTGTCTTGAAAACAGTTTCAAAAAGACCTTAGTAAATTGATGAATTCAATATGATAGATATTAAGCATTAAAAGAATAATTAGGATTAGTATACACATGATAGATGATTATAAATATAATAAGATTATATCACATTAGATTCAAATAACTTTATTTGAATAAAAATTATATTAAAAATGAGGTAACTATACCTGCTGTAAGGTTTGATTGTTTAGATTGGGGTATCATAGTAGATATAGTTTCATCTTTTTTTTCTTCTTCTACAATAGGAGTTTGCCCAAATGTGATAATTGTGGAAATGTGGCTCTCATTCCTTTCTTTGTGATGCTGTGCTACTTGTGCATAACTTAGTTTATGACCAATATTTGGAGAACCATTCCCATTAAGAACAGGATTATTGTTAGCCATATCTGCCGAAAATGTAGCAGGTGGTTGTGGTATGACACAAGCGCACTGTGATGGCAAAGGAGCCTTATGATTTGGTACAGTTGGCTTAATATTAAGAGATGTACCATTTGCTTTAGGCGTAGTAGGTGGCATGTCAGATTTTGCTGGCATTACAGTCTTATCTGTAGGATTTATTATAGAATTCGAAGTCGTAACAATATCCTGAACCTTACAACAAAACAATATAAAATCAATAATTTTAGTATATTTTAAAAACATTAATGCAGGATATGGATTAATAAATACCTTTGAGTGCAAATTAACAGAGCTCAAAGACATATTTGATACGTCATCAACAATTGCAGTCACAGGTACAGGCCCAACAGGAGGCACTGTTTGTAAACTATTTGGTAGGCTCTCTGAATTCACAGTTAGGTCCATATCATCATCAGTCTTAGATACAGAGGGTTCAGACAGAACTGTTGAAATACTCGAAGTTGAAATTACAGTAATCCTATGAATTAAAATAAGTCAATATATAAGTTAATGTAAAACCATAGGTATATATTATAAAAAAACATAAAAATCAAAATTCCACATAACAAAAAAAAATTGATTTAATAACCTAATGTGAGATCATATATAGTTTCCCTTAAACCTTAATAATATATTTGATTATTTTTGAAAATTGTCGCGTGTTGTAAATGGAAAACTATTGATATAAATTATTAATAAAGTTACTTAACTTTAAAAGGTTTCAAATCCTTAATACAACATAAAATAACATAAATTAATATTTGAAATGGTTCAGAAACAAAATTATGTTTTATCCTCGATTAAGTTTTGTTTAAATCAACTTAAAGTTTTTAGAGCTTTTAAAACAAAATAGTTATTTATTTTGAAAAAAATATACTAAAATAAATTAATTATAATACTTTGGTAACAATCTTTATATCTCTAACAATAATTTCTAATACTTACCTAGGATCAATGTTAACACGAGGTGACAACTGGTCATGGGGCAATGAAGTTGGCGACTGGTGTGATATAGATACAACTTGAGGTGGTAACGGAGGGAACGCATCAGCAGCCAAATCAAAACTTCCAGTTGGTGGCTGAGGTATAGTACCTGTGGTTACTACTTCTGGTCCTACTTCATCATCTTTCTTCCTTCGCCTATATCTATATAAAATAAAAAAATGAAGTAACTATTTAATATCAATTGATAAATATAACTCAAAATATTAGAATTTTCTATTTTTATGAATAAAATATCAATGTTAAAAATATAAATTACCTTGGTGGCAATGATGTAGGATCTTTAGGGATGTTGATTGTACCATTAGACTGTCTATCAATTACAGCTGAATCTTGATTGTCAACATAGTTTCTGGTTGCATTGGAAATATGCAAAGATCCACTACTACTAGATGACTTAGTCAGACTTCCATTTGATGTGTAACTACCAGGACGAGATGGTAAACCACTATCCGAAGCTGAACTTCGGTAATATTCACTACCACCAACAGAATTATGACGCATTTTTCCATTGGATCGACCACTATTTGAAATATGTTTGAATTTATATAAAAACATAATAATTTTATTGTTATTGTAGTAGAATAACTATGATACTACTTACGGTGCACGCGAAACATTATATCTTGAATTTTGAGGTTTAGTAAAAGCTCCTTGGGGTGCCAAGCCATTCACAGAAAATATGCCACTAAGATCAGTTGTGTAATAGGCCCCTGTTGCAGGATGAGCCCAATGTTGAATCATATTTGTAGGATAATATGGAGACTGTTGCTGCTGCTGTAACTTATTAAAACCATAAAACATAATTATTATTCAAACTAAATAACTAATCAAAAACATCCGTTTTTCAAGAATAATAATTTGATACACTTACATATACTTGCAGATTGGCAGCAGCATAATTGACTGGAGCATATTGAGCTGGTCCTCCATTTGTATAAAACAACCTGGCAGCTTGAGGATGCTGTGGGGGTGGTGCAGGAGGTCCAGATTGTGTGACACCTGGACCTTGATCTATATATGGATTGATAGGTTGAGCTTGCATTGGCGGAGTTCTAAAACCATTTACTGTTTTGATACCTGGAATTCCAGCAACAGCACCCGGTGATATTGGTGCAGCCATGCGATTCATTGGCTTTGCTTTAATACGAGCCATTATAGGTCGACCCTAAAGTAATTAAATTTAGAAATGAATCATTTATATTCAAAAACATAATTAAATTAAATATATTGACAGTTAATATAAACATACAGTTTATAAATACAGCTTAAATCTAGTTATCAAAAATTTTTAAATAAAAATTTCTGGTAGAAGTCATCATTAAATATCAAAACTTTATAAAGAATAAAATACTAAAATCATATACTACAATTCTATCCYGACAGTTTGAAATAAAATAAAAATGAAAATAACTACAAAATAATACTTCAGTTGGTAGTGCATGTAATAAATAATCACTAAAATTCATAATGTGTGAAAAATTATCATCATAAGCAATTTTTTTTTTCATTTTCAGAATATCAAAACCATCCTCACAATTTATTAGAACATATTTAATACTTCAGTTGGTAGTGCATGTAATAAACAATCACTGAACTTCATAATGTGTGAAAAATTATC